CCCACCCCCAAAATGAAGGCCCTAAAAACCTTAGAAGTGCCCTAGCCAAGTGAGTGAACAATAAAACTCTGCTCCACGAATGTGCCTCAAGCAGTGGATGGAAGGGGAAGCTTAGAGAGAGAATTGTCTCTGGCTAAGTACAGACAGTCAAAAAGCCTGAGGCTGACTTGATTCAATTTTTGGAGGTTAGTCTAAGCTGTGCAGATTGAACTGATAAGCAAGTGAACAGACATTCACTTCTGATTCCAAAAATGCAGCCACATACCTGCAGCAGCACAGGCCAGAAGGCACTAGAGCACACCTTCCTGCTCAGTTGGAGCAGCGAGCTTGGGCCAAGGCTAACCTGCCCACCCTGGAAACGGGGGATGGGGGGCAGAGGGCACAAAGTATTCTGGGAAGCTGGGGGACTGAGTTAACTTGAATCTGCAAGGGATCTGGGACAGAAGTTCAATAAACTGGTTTGACCTAAATAAGTGAAGTCTGATACTACGTCCATCCAGGTATATCTTAAGCTGGTTTCAGCCATTTTGAAATTAGTTTCTGTTCCCTGAAGTTCTGTTGTGTTACACATTTGAACCAGTTTCCGATCACTTATATCGGTTTGTGTATAATTTCTGTTCCTAGCCTGCATGGCTGGGGGTGGGGTGGGGTGGGCTGGGCTGTGTGTGTCTGTGTCAGTGTCCAGCACTGCACTGTGTCCATGTCTGTGCCTGCAGCCTGGACCTGCCATCACACCCCTTCACACAGCCCTAGCTCGGACCTGCGGGCAGGTCTCCCAAGGCTTGCCTACCTCGGGCAGCTCCAGGGCTCTGAAGCTTGGGTGCCAGGCACCAGTGGGCTGAGGAAGGGTGTAGGGCTTTCTAGCTCTAACCCCCTCCCCAGCAGTGTCACCTACACCCAACCCACAGGGCCCCCAGCCCTGCCAGTGCCCCTCATTCCCAACCTGCGGCCCCCTCCCCCCGCCCTGCTGGAGGGGGCACCAGTTGTCCTCAGCCCCCTGCAAGCTTTACTTACCCCAAAGGCCTTAGGAGGGAAAATGAGTCTGAGCCAAGCCCTGACTGACCCCCTCCCCCTGCCCCTCTGGACAGCACTGAGAGTTTCCTGCCCTTTTTGCAAGCAGCTCTTTCAGACTGCAACTCTGCCAGATTGCAGAGAGCTCTTTCCAAAATGTCCTGCTTAAAAGGGGAAAATCCATAGTTTTCTCCTTCAACAGGGAAAATCTTCATTTTTCGGCAGGAAACAGAAAACCTATAACCCTGCCACAGGGCATCTGCATAGCCTGACACTCATTCCCCAGAATGGCCATGTGCAAGTATTGATTCATTCTTGTGATTAATTGCTTTAGTAATTCTCATGCTGCCAACAAATTACATGCACGTGCCACCTTCCCTTCACCCCTTGCCCACAAATAGCATGACCCAGCCCTCTTCCCTCCATCTGACCCCCTTGAGCCAAAGACTTTGAATCAGGGAATCAGTGACCCACCCTGTCTTGAGGAGGTTCCAGTCTATTTTGTACATGGGATTCACAGTTGTCCCCAAACTGTCTGGCGAAATAACACGTGGGGTAGAGGTGTTCCCACTCCCACTAAGCAACTGAGGTGTCCTTTTCAAACATGCCTTCTGCCAGGATTAGTCCGATCCCTAGCATGATTCCCACCAGCAGTGCGGTAGTCCCCTTCCATTCCCTGTCACTCTCCCAGGCTGCCAGTAGCACTAGTGACCAAGGATGTGTAGCTGATGAGAGAGCTTAGAGGACACATGGTCAAATCCCAGCTGCTGCAAATTCTCCTGACGCCGTTCAAGTCATGGAGGGATATCGACTTTCAGTATCTTTCATCATTCTGTTGATAAGGGTGATGGTAATTTCCAGGCACAGGATGCAAGTTTCTAGCATTATTATTATGCTGGACATAAGCTACTGTGCATTACCACTGCAGTCTCTTCATTCGCAGGTATCAAGGCAGCAGTCTCTGACAGACACTGGGGAATTAAATGAAACCAGCACTACTTCTGCATGCTAGCCATTTGTACTGCAGAGTCAAGCGGAGGAGCCAGGAACCCAGTTTGTTTCATGAGCTGCTGATGGTGCTGCAAGCCCCCAAACCTCCAAAGCCTAGGGGCTCGGAGCAATGTGCACAAACACACACGGTTACACATGGACACGGACAGGAAGCTTGTCTGTGGAAGTGTGAGTCTTTTTTTCAGTTCCAACTATGGTAGCTCTTTTTATTTTTTTGTTAATGTGTTCAGTAGGCCAGAAAGCTAGCTCAAGCAGTTAGCTCAGATGAGAAGTGCATGGCTGCTCTTCACTGCTGGTGTGCTCTAGGGACTTGGGAGCTGCACGTGTCAATCATTGTGGATTTGCCAGCCCAGTGGTTTTAAGTTAAAATTTTAGCTCCGTTAAAGTTTTAGCTGGTGTTTTGTAATTTTTGGTAAAGGGCACGTCTGTGTTTATGTAACATGACCTTTAGGTTTGCTTCTTTCTTACTAAGGCCATCTTTGCTCCTGTGAGCCTGTCTGCTGGGTGAGACTAAAAACTATCTCCATTGGTAAAGGGTACCTGGGCAGGACCCTTTCTTTATTCATATGATTTCTAGCAACTACAGAGGATTTAACAGTAACATGGGCTGAGAATTTTGTCTTTTTTTTCTGGTGTTTCCTCACTTGTGGGGTGAAAAAAACAGGGTTGTGGTTCTGGGGAGGGCAATGCCCAGAGGAAACCCAGAGACTGCTGGGGCCTCTGCAGCAACACAAAGTATCTGCTTAGCAAGGAAAGCAGTCTTTGCCAGAAGGAGGTCAAAGGAAGGAAACTATTCCTGGTGTAAACCCTTCTCTCAAAATCCCAGATGAAGCTCTGGTCTAGAGCCAGCCAGGCAGCACCTTTACCGCTGTTCCATGTTGGTGGAGTTCTGCTTAGACAAAAAGAGCATCAGAGAGTCCACTGCACAAGTTCATCTTAGGAAGGCAGGAGCTCGCATGCGGGTGGCAGCAGAGTGGAGTCAGAAATGGGGCACACATGTCTACTATCTCATTCATTTTTTTATGTGGAGGCATCTAGTTTTGGTTATTCTTAGCAGCAGCATCAGATCATTGTTGCTGCCTCCACCTCCTAGCCAGGCCAGAGGAAATGCAACATTTCCTCAGGGAGTTAGCCAACTGTGTCAGGACAGGATTGCTCCAACAACAGCTCTACCTAACGTTAGCAGAATATCACTTGTATGTCCCAACAACCCTCCACCTATTTGCAGGAAGTGGTCAACACAAATCCATCCAACGCTATCTGTTCCTCTCAGGCTGTGTTTTAATACTAGACTGCCCTCTTTCCCAGCAACAAGTCCAAGTGCTGCACGCCTAATTTATTGATTAGGACAAGAGTTGGCTTGAGCGCGTGGCTTTTAGATCCTTTGTCTGCCTGTGTCGGGCACGGTAAAACAGTGACCCCCTGAAACAGCAATCTGCCCAGGCTGACTGATCCATGAGAAATGGGAGCTAACAGCCTGGGAACTGGGGTAAGTTTATCTTTATGGTGACAAGAATATAAAGCAGTACTTAATCTACATTTTGGAACAACTGCTGCTTTGGCTGATAATTATTGGCTGCTATTGATAAGACCTGAATAGCGAGCTACCAGAAAGGAGACCATATTGTTACAAAGTAAGATTTAGCAGCTGCAGTAGGTGGCAGGGAACGATGTCAGTGGTGTCACGCCTGTTTGGCTCCAGAATATCTGACAGAGCAGCTAGGAGCAGTAGATTAGAAACTGAGTAGAAGGGCCAGCTGTGCCATCCTGCCAGAGTCTCTGATTTGTTTAATCAAAAACCTTTCCTTCCACTGTCTGCTGGCTAGAGCAGTTAATGAGAAACCCTGGAGATTGGGAAAGACCACTGGTCTGCACTATAAAGGCTCCTGCCCTTCTGGTCTCCTCTCTCCAGGCAGAAAAGGCAGCTCAAACCACCGTGTGTTCCCTATACTAAACAGACCAGGTGCAGCCTGGGATCCCCAGCACAATGTCCAAACTGGTGGAGTGTGTCCCCAACTTTTCTGAGGGGAATAACAAAGAGGTAAGGGCCATGAATTCTCTGTCTCTGAAGTGTTGATAAACCGTGGGTGGGGGGTCTTTGGCTTTTTGTCACTGCTTTGCACTGGCTGTCTATGCAACTGGTGGACATGTGGGCTAGGGTTAACCTGTGGAGTACTTATGGACTGACCTGCATTTTGTATGACCTGGTGGGATTTCCTTTCACACATGACTCATCCATTGCTTGTGAGATTAATTCTGCTCCCATTGACTTAAATGGCAAAACTTGCCTAGTTCCACAGGGGTGGAGGATGCTTCAGGAAAGCCTTTTCAAGTCTCCCCCTCTCCTCCCCCTCCAGGTCCTTTTTACTCCAATGGACAGTGGCAATGGCTTGGATCTCACATGGTCCACTATGGTACTCTTTCTTTGGGATCATATGGCACCTGCATGCTCTGAAGTAAGGACTTTGAATTTGGCCAGATTGTAGTCATTGTAGCAGGGCTGTGTCTGTTGCTATCCCCATAAACATTTGCTTCAACTTGGACAAATTACAAACTTAAGGAAAAAATGCAGCTTGAGTGTACTTAGTAGAGTCTTGCTAGAACCTTGTAGCTAAATTCCCTGAAGATGTTATGTGAACTAGCATGCTCCAGCCTGAGGCTGATTAGGACCTTCCCTGCTCTTGCAGCTCTGGGCACAGTGGGCAGTTATATTGTGGGAGTAGCCCCTGCGGGGACTGACAGCAAGTCTTCTGTCTCTCCTGTGCTGTCAGTGATGGCCAGTGGCCCTAAGTGGAAGGAAGGAGGAAGTCCTTTGAACTGAATGTAGAGGGGGCAAGAACTAGGCACGAGTGGGATGGGGAACACTTTGGCCCAGTAAGTTTGGGGGGGCATGGTGCTCCTGCTGACTGCAACTGTGGCAGTATGGTACAGGGAAAGGTGTCTCTCCTGTAGGCAAGTCCCAGGCGATGTGTGCTTTACAGCACAGAAGCATCTTCTTAAATTCAAACCAGAAGCCAAGTAGCCTCCGTCTGCAGGCCTGGGCTGCAACCAAGAAGCACACTACGTATTAGGTGGTACTGTAGTTTTTTTTCTATCTGTTCTCATTTGTGTTTACTTAGACTCTGAGGGCTTCAGGGGAGGGACTTTTTGTCTGGGTTACTACAGGGCTTTCTGAGAAGTCATCCAGAATCATTCATGAGGATCATTTTTTGTTTGTAGAACTTGTTCCTGCACAATGGGAAAGTTATCAGTGGCAGTGGTAGAGCAATGTTGTAACTGTGGTAGTCCAGGAATTATGTGAGAGGCAAGGCTTCCTTAGGGTAATATCTTTTATTGGACTAACTTTATAGTTGGGATGGAGTTAGACAAGTTTTCACGTGCAAAAAATTCTTCCTTGAGTGTTGAATTCTTGCATTTGAAAGCTTGTCTAACTATCCCAATTCATAGTTTCATAGTTAGTTAGAGTTAGTAGGGTCGGAAGGGACCTGAGCAGATCATCAAGGCCGACCCCCTGCGATGGCAGGAAAGAGTACTGGGGTCAAACGACCCTAGCAAGGTGATTGTCAAGCCTTGTCTTA